AAAATATGTTCGTAGAAAAGGTAATGATTAGAGAAGACTGCAGTAGTGCTTTCTGGAAAGAAAGATTTAACAGCGGTCTACAAAGATTATTTACCAAAAAAGTAAGAACAAAAATCAAAGATAGATTTAACGGACAAATCCCTTATGATAATCTTACATATGAAGATTTAATCAGTTTTATTAATGTAACATGTCTTGACTTATCTACAGACCTAAAACTTAAAAGTCTTATTAAAAAGGACAGACTTCAATCCAAAACGGAGTTAGGAAGTTTCTGCCAAGACTTTGGTTTTAAAACAATAGATGCTCCATCTAAAAGAGCAAAACAACAAAAATCTTCTGAAAAATCCAAAAGACGTCATAAACATAACGAAAAGAAGGAAGGAACCCCTAAAAAGAAAAGGTTCAAAAGGCATTCCAAAAAAGAACACGGTGACAAATGTTGGTCATGTGGAAAGACAAGGCATAGAGCTAATGAATGCCCAGTCACCAACAAGAAAAAGAAAAAGGTTAACACCTTAGAAATTGATGAAAATACTAAAGAAAAGTTGTTCGCTATTCTTGAACAAAATGATAACAGCACATCATCATCATCATCAGATGAAAGTTATTTTGACAGTGACAATGAATTAATCAATATGGCTTACAGCTCAGACAACAGCAGTAGCTCTAAAGAAGACAATTGTAGCTGCACTGGTACAATATGTGTGTGCGGTCAAAATTCTATTAAAGTAATTACTAATGACTCCAAAGAAGTCTTATTTGATATTATTAATTACATTGATGATGAAGATATTAAAAGAAAGTATTTGACGGAACTAAAAAATATCATCATTAATCAAAAAGGAAATCATCATAACATAGAACCCTTTAATATGAAAGAGGATATGAGTAGATTTTCTACTATTCAGCATCTACATATTGAATTAAAATATCTGAAAGAGGAAATAAAATCGGTTAAGCTTAGACTTGACAAAATAGAAATGGAAAATCTCACAAAATAAATACTACAAGCAGCCAATAAGAAATAAACAATTGGTGAATATTTCACAGAAGATGATAATTTCAAAAATGATGACGACTCAATCATCAATCAATATGAAACAGGAAGTGGTACAGCTGTGGCCAAAATTACAAGAGTAAAAGCCCAAAGCTACTATATTCCCATCATCTTAAAGGTAAAAGATATCACGCTAAATAAATTAGCACTACTAAACTCAAGTGCAGATAGAAACTGCATAATGGAAGGAATAATACCAACCAAGTACCTTGAAACAAGTACTACAAAATTATATTCCGCCACAAGAGAAAAATTAAAGATAAATTATAAGTTATCAAAAGCACACATCTGTAATGATAGAATCTGTTTTATAAATGATTTTGTAATAACTAGGGATATAAATAAAGAAATTATCCTAGGAATACCATTTATAACCCAGATTAAACCATATCATAACAACCTGGATGCAATTTACACCACAATATTAGGAAAAGAAATAAAATTTCCTTATCTTAATTCTATCTGCAAAGAGGAAAGTGACTTCCTCAAATCAAAAACCATTTTTAAAATAAATCTGCTTTCAAATCAGGAAAATTATTTAAAAAACGATATAAAAATTCATAAAATTGAACAAACTTTAAAAAACCCCGGAATGAAGGAAAAGATTAAACATTTTCAAGAAAAACTGGAACTTGAAGTTTGTTCATAATTACCCAATACCTTCTGGGAAAGGAAAAGACATGTAGTTGAACTACCTTATATAAATGAATTCACAGAACAGGCCATACCCACTAAGGCTAGGCCTATTCAAATGAATCATGAACTTATGAAAATTTGCAAAAACGAAACCAATGATCTCCTTAAAAAGAAGATTATAAGACCATCAAAATCACCTTGGAACTGTGCAGCTTTCTACGTTAATAATAGCGCAGAAAAGGAAAGATGAGCTCATAGACTTGTCATTAATTATAAGCCATTAAATAAAGTTCTACAATGGATTAGGTACCCGATACCTAATAAAAGAGATTTGTTAAAAAGAACTTACAAAGCTAATATCTACAACAAATTTGACATGAAGTCAGGTTTCTGGCAAATTCAAATTAGCGAAAAGGATAAATATAAAACTGCTTTCAATGTCCTCTTTGGACAATATGAGTGGAATGTTATGTCTTTCGGGTTAAAGAATGCCCCATCAGAATTTCAAAACATTATGAATAATATATTCAACGCATATAGTAATATGTTGATAGTTTATATTGAAGATGTTCTAATATTCTCATAGGACATAGATTCTCATTTTAAAATACTTAAATACATTCTTTAAGATTATAAAACATAGTGGTTTAGTAGTAAGTGCTAAGAAGATTAAGTTGTTTCAGACAACCATCGGATTCTTAGGACACGACCTAGACCAAGGAACCTACAAACCAATCTGTAGAGACATTGAGTTCTTATCCAAGTTCCCCGATGAAATAACAGACAAAACCCAATTACAAAGGTTCTTAGGAAGCCTTAACTACGTTGCAGACTTCATCCCTAACATTAGAAAAATTTGCGAACCACTATATAAGCGTCTTAGGAAAACCCCAATTCCATGGAGTATAGAACAAACAGGCACCGTTAAAAGGGTCAAGTCAGTTGTTCAAAAACTTTCATGTCTAGGTATTCCTAATCCGGAGGCATTCATGATAGTCGAAACGGACGCTTCTGATGAAGGGTACCAATTCAAAGGGTCATAGGTTTTATAATCAAGATTATAAAATAAACGTGGAATTTAAAGCATAAGTTAGAAACACTTACAAGATAAGAGCTTTATAAAGGATCATAGATTTGATAATCAAGATTATAAAATAAATGCGGAATTTAAAGCATAAGTCAGAAATACTTACAAGATAAGAGTTTTATTCAAACATAGGCAAACATTTTATAGAGAGGGGAGAGAAAGGATAGAAAGAAAATCTTGGAAAATTTTCTGATGTCTATTGATTACAATTTGAAAGCCTTTTATAGACTTCGAAAAGTTGTTAAGTTAAAGGGGAGAGAAAGGGTCGTCTTCTACTTTGTTGAAGGAGCATGTACTATTCTTGTCCTTTTGTGCTTGTCATTATCAAGTAACTCTTTCTTTTCCGAAGAGTCGTTTGCTTTTTTGAAAAGTTGTTTTGTCTTTGTCGGTTGAAGAAGAGTCATTTGTCCTTTTGTAAAGGGGCAAGGTGCTATTCTTCCTCTAAATAGGCATGGTAGGCTTGGGCTATCCCTTGTGGATCTTCCATGTCTCCATTGTTTTCTGCTAAGGAAGATGCTAATGATGTATCACGACCCGGAATTCCTACCGTCGGGACCGTGATGGCGCCTAACATTTCACTTGCTAGGCAAGCCAACGTTAGAGAATCATTAAACCAATCCTTATTCCATTCAGAAAATAACAACAATTAGCTAAGATGAAATATAGTGAGTGCGGAATAATATAAAAATTTTATTAACTACTACCACCCGGATCTGGAGTCACAATTCACGGGTATTCTAGAATTCACTACAAGTAATAGTCTGAAAGAAATACAACTGTTTGGATGGAAGAAATAGTAAAACAGAAAAGATAGGCGGGGACTTCAAGGTCTGTGAACGCCGACAGATCTACCTTGAGTCTCCGGATAGTGGGTCCAACAGCTAAAATCTTGATCAATCCGAGCCGGTACCAAAATATACACAGAAAGTGCAGAGTGCAGTATCAATATAACCGACCCCATGTACTGGTAAGTGTCGAGCCTAACCTCGACAAAATAGTGACGAGGCTAAGACAAGGCACCTACAAATCAACCTGTACAATTTAACAGTGTATATACAAGTAACAGCAATGAAAAGCTAGACAGGTAATATCGGGAGGGGGAACATGCTGAGGAAAATACGAGATAAAGAACTACAACAGAATAATGACTGAAACAACCAATGTACTATGAATCAATAGGAACAACGAATACAGTAAAGGAAAACAAATTGCACGGCATCACCCTTCGTGCTTTTACTCTCAACCTCACCTTAAAATCAATAGAAACGGCACGACATCACCCTTCATGCATTAACTCTCATATCATGGCACGACATCACCCTTCGTGCATTAACACTCACAATATGGCACGGCATCACCCTTCGTGCTTTTACACTCACAATATGGCACGGCATCACCCTTCGTGCTTTAACACTCACAATATGGCACGGCATCACCCTTCGTGCATTAACATTCTCCCTTACCATAATGCAATGAATAAATAACAACATGGAGATAGAATAACAAGTACAAGCTTTACTTCAACATTAGATTCCACAATATCAATCTCGACTTCAAAATAAATACTCAATTATCACCAGAAGATCCGTAAGCATGATAAGAACGATTAATTTAACGACATTAGACTAAACATGTAGCAATTAGGCATAAGAAAGAGACAATATAAGAAAAACGGGAGAAACAGGAAAAACAGGTAAATTGGCGGCGCATAAGTACTCGTCACCTCACATATACGCCGCTCACATGAATTTCACATAGCAAATAATCTGAGGTTCCTATTTCCCTCAAGTCAGGGTTACTCTAATCTGAGGTTCCTATTTCCCTCGGTTCTGAACTCGGTATCTAGTCCTCGTGATTTAGTCTGTTCCGTTATGAGGCCGTCCTTCGATGCAATCTCCCGGTCTCGATCAAATAGTAAAATCGGATGGGTCCGATTTTAACCGTATACAATATGTTTTCCAAACAAAATTTTATTCACTGAACTAGAGTATATCTTTTTCTGCACAAATATAATGAAATAATCATAAAGTCACTGGAGTTCGAACAAGTGAAATTACAGTTGTAATTTCTTAACCCTTAGCACCACGCGAGTGACTAATTAATTTCTAAAGAAATTAGGCTAATGAATATTGGAAAAAGGATTAGGCAACAAAATCACAGGGGAATGCAGCCATTAATTATTATGCAAACTAGCCTCGGTTATTTTTTTCTTGTTACCAAACTAGCTCGGTTATTTGGCGCAAATATTTTTAGACCACCCGCTTTACTATTTCCGGACGCGCCAATAACAGATTTCGCTACCAGCTTTTTATTGTCAACGAATTCCCCCCAATTCCAATCCTTACTATTCTTCCCCTCAAATCGACCTCGATTTTTCTTCTCGACTTTCAAATCAATCTTTCATTTGTCTAATTCGTTCTCTTCTCTATCCATCTATACTTTTTTCGGCTATAGCAGTTTTGAAAATCAAATTTCGATTTTAGGGTTTCAGATCTCCTCTATTTTTTCTATAGATCTGTTCAATTCCGAGTTCTTTTTGTAAAATTAATTGTTATTATATCTTAATTTCGTTTTTTCTCCATTGATTTCTCTGGGTTTTTTAAAGAAAAATAGGGTTGATCTTCTTCCGATATAAATAATCTGCGGATTTGGAATTTCTTGTTCAATTTTAAATTCTTTGAACCAATTTTTGATTGATTTAATTAATTTAATTTTTAATTGAAGAGTTGTATCTGAACTTGGGGATCTAGAGTTAGGGTTTTCATAAAAAATTGCAATTCATACTTTTACCTCTCGATTTTCCCCCCCCAAAAAAAAAAGAAACTTACAATTTTACCCGTATTTATATTGCTGTCCTCAAATTGAAAAATTGGCTAGCTCAGTTTTGACGAAGACCAGCTTCCCGTTCAAGGTACCCGAACCGTCCATCTTTCCCCCTATTTATTTTGCAGTCGTTAAGGTGCAAAAGTAATTTTTGTTACTCCATGTAATTAGACAAACTTATGGCTCTCTTTTCCAGCTTTTCGTTCTTTAGGGCCATACTATGATAAAACTGATTTAAGGGGCGTCACTGTTTTATTCCCCTGCCACGTGTCACTAATTTAAAACTTAGTTAGCTACGTATTATTCTGTTCAGCCTTCTTTGCTCGAAAACAGAATGAGCTGTTGTATATGTTATCGCGCTTATCAGTTATCAGTGTGACAGTGTGTAGTCTTGTCTGTATTTGCTACTTGCTCAAACATTTGTGTCACTGTTTCCTGTAAGCTGTTTCTTGTCTGCTAATTTCTGGTCCTAAAAGAAAAATTGATGTTCTTATTCTGTTCCGGTCAGTATCTTTTAGTGCTTGTAACCTTTCATAGTAGATGGGTGCTCTGACTATGCTCGACTTACTATTACTATTAATCAGTGTCACTTATGAGATTGGATTATTTTTATCATGAATGGCTTAGCCTGACATAGCTCAGTTCTTTATTTTTGACAAAGTTGTGACTGTATATCCAAATGCTCTGACTAACAACATCATGTCGGTTTTTCTGTTTATTGAGAGTTGATGTGGTGTTTACCTTTAGTATCTTCTTTTCAGCTAGACAATACAGCTATATATTTAATTAGAATGCCCTTGTGTGCTGTATAGAACTGGGTTGGAATGCTCATTGTTCAGGTTTTCTGTTGAATTTAGTGGTGTTCTAGTGCAATTCTGTGGTCTCTGAAGTATAGTTATTATCCCTTTATTTTCTTGAAGTTATTTTGTGGATGTCTTTTGTGATTATGAAATCATATGTATTGTTACATATTTTTAAACACATGGAACTTGAAGGAATTTCCCCTCTCTGCTAATCTTTGACCTTCTTCCAGTTTACGTTTAAATATCTCATATTTTTTAGTTCCTTGTGTAGCTAATTATGGTGCAAAAAAGGTCGTATGGTGAAGAGGAGTTGTATGAGGTTTCATCTAAGCAACCAAGACATGAACCTAGCTGTCAGTTAGTTTCAGTTTTGGAACTTTCTCGTGAATCAGTGGCTGTGAAGGCTTATGCTTCAGGTAACAAGAGATTATTTTGTTAGTTTGAGATATTCTTTGCACTGCTTTTGCTGCTTTGCGTACCATATTTTAAAATGTTTTCAGTCACTGGTGTAGTACAGTACCCTGTAAGACTTGCCAAGTATTTTTTTAAGGTTGGAGCAGTTTTCTCCAAATCTCTCTTTACAGGCTTGCTCTTTTTAGGAGCAGATTTTGGATGTTAAGTGAATCTTTTAGCTCCATACTCTTTATAGTGTGGGTTCCGATGTATTGATCTGTATCTCTATATCTTTGGTAGGTGGTGATGAGGAAAACTCTTCAAGAACCAATGCTGACAGCAAACCTGATAGTCACAATGTGGCTGAAGCTCTTTTTTCTTCTGAGAAAGAAACTGAGATGGGCATTTATGGCTCTGCTTCTAACTCTTCCTGGCCCACCAGTTGCACCAGTGAGGAAGACATCAGGCCTGAGGCGCGTTTTCACATATTGATGTCTCCTGAATATTACTATTTTGATAATCCGTTCAGGGCCGCTGCTCATCATGGGGAGATGCATTCTTCTCTATTGTGTGATCCTCCTCAAAAGATGGTCCCTATTGGACCTGATTTTCAAGCAGAATTACCCGAATGGGTTGCATTTGGTAATCAGGATAAACTGTACGTGGAGGGCATACATGAAACTCTGTGTCCTTCATCGCAAGCTGATGAAAATAAACTTGCTGGTACGAGTATCATTACAATGCCTGCAATGGAGCTATGTGCAGATCATGGGGAGAATATTGTAGAGAGAGGAGGCGAATGTCCATGTGAAGATATAGGTTCCATAAGATGTGTTCGGCTGCACATCATGGAAACAAGGGAAAAACTAAAGCTAGACCTTGGCGAGGAGACATTTGTTAGGTTGGGTTTTTGTGACATGGGAGAGGTAGTGGCAGAAAAATGGAGTGAAGAGGAAGAGGAATTATTTCATGAGGTTGTATTGTCCAATCCTGCATCACTGGGCAAGAATTTCTGGAACCATCTTGCTATTGAGTTTCCTTCACGGAGCAGGAAGGAACTTGTTAGCTATTATTTTAATGTTTTTATTTTGCGAAAACGTGCTGAGCAGAACAGATTTGATCCACTGAACATAGACAGTGATAATGATGAGTGGCTGGAGATTGTTGGTGATGCTGATCAGGAAGCTAATATGACGGATGAAGATGAGGAGTCTGTGGTTGAATCCCCAGCATATCATAATGATCTCAGTGGCAATGGGATCCATGAGGAGCTCGATAAACATCATGAGGATGTCGGTGATGCTACCTGGGAAGATTATAAGGCTGTAAATGTTTGTAGCACGAAGGTCTTCACTGATGTGCCGGAATCATGTCCTGGTGAGCTGTTTGATAGTAACAGCAGTTATAAACTTAGTTTACAGCCTCAAGACCAAGGCCTATCAAATAAAGTGGTTAAGCAAGAAGTCCAAGATGGCTCCTGTACCACTGTTGCAGCCGGGGTTACTTCAGAATCATCACTAGGGCAGACCAACAATGGTAAATGTTGGGCTAATGATATTACTGGTATGGGCAGTGGCACTGAGCATGATCGTGTGTTTGGGCCATGTAGTTGCAAAGAATGGGATGTTGGGTACTTGAGCTGTTGTGCCAGAAATGAAGTTGATTTGTTACCAACCTGCACTATGATTGAAGAAGTCTTTGGGGATGGAGCCTGGATATACAAGAGTTGAGATGGTTAAGGGTTAAGCTATGTTTTGACATTTACATTCATGCTGTAGACAGAGGCAGGTTTTGTGTGGTTGAATCAATCTGGTGATGCTTCATTTGCAGGTTCCGGTTTTCCTTGTATATTCATAATGCTGGTGGAAGATAATTTTTACTCTCTTCAAGAAATGACATTACAAGGGTGTTACAGGAGCTGATGGATGCTATGCTTTTGGAACTGTACAGTAGCCATTATTTGATTTGCTTAACACCAGTTTCCTGGGAAGCTGTTTTGACTGACAGTAGGTTCTTAGAATTTATTTGTAAAGTTAAACTATGGCCAATTGAGCCATATTTCCAAAAAAGGGGGATGAAGATCCTTTTAAAAATTCTTATATACGTAAATTTAGTTGTTTTGTACAGTCGCGGATTTCCTCTCTTTTTATGTTCCCTTGTCCTCTCCTTTGTCTATTTCTCAGCTCTACAAAGGAAGACCTTTGATATGGGTAATAAGAAATTAGCCAACATTGTACAAAGCTTCACTGGATAATCTTGTTTCGTGAAGGTACTCGTACCAGAAGTTTTAAGGATATAAGCTCTTAGCCTTTTAAAGCTCTGACTGATTAACCAACATGCTGTTTTTGCTTCTGGCCGAGTACTAAGACCATCAAAATGCATTCTTTCATGGAAGGATGGTTTTTAACCTCTACACCTTGTGGCATGCGCCTACCAAGCTTTCGAGTGTATCATTAAACTTAGAGGAGTTGGTTGTGTTGAGAGTGAAGTATAAACTACTTGATTGACTTGACGGCATTAAATACTGATACTCTATTGAAAAGAAGAAAAGAGCATGTCATGTAATAAGACTTAAACTTGTAGAAATAAATCATCTATTAGTATTATTTTTGTCACCTTTGGAATTTGAACTTTCTCTTCAAACCCTTATATTCAAAGTTCACACCCATTTCATTGACCACTTAGGTATACCATATAGTAGATACTTTTATTATGAGATAGTGGATTTACTCTTATCTATACTTTTAAAAAAAATTCAATAATGCGTATAGGAGTAGTATATAATATGAGTAAGCAGACACGTACACCTGTTATGACGATGCGCACACACTCACTGACTCACGGATGCAACTGTGGGCTATGACGCTCAGTGTCAACATGTACATCAGCAGCCCTTAGATGCAGCCGGGGGCAGTGCTAATTGCAGCAGATATCTGTGTATGCTTTTTAGTGGTTATGCATTAGAATACAAGGCCTCTTTGACTCTGCTATCTCAAGCTTTCGTCCAGTGTATTTTGTTTTATAAAAAGGAAAAGTTGCACTTTCCGATACATTCCGATCCGTTGTTATAGTAGTAATGTATATGACATTCTCTTAATACAGTACTAAGTTAATTTAACTTTATATTTCATTACTAAACAAATTCCATCATGCTAGGTAGAAATGAAGGAAAAGCCATCAACATATGTTATACTAGTACAAAGAAACTATTTTTAATTCTGGCACCCAAAGGGGAAGTAGCAAGTAGTCGGGGGTGTTCTTTACTTGGTTATATATAAGAGAAAAAATCTTCAATAATCTATCAAGTCAAAGAAGTAGTGGAAGAGTGCTCTACCCTAACCAATTTTAGTTTTGCATGATCCATCCAAAGGAACAGGTAAGGAAAGGTCCCACGTAATAACTTCAGTTGGGATTTTCAATTTTCTTTTTAATTTCATATATGAGTATTTCCTAAGCATTGCTGGTGAGAACTTGCTATGAACACATGAGCAATTATTATCTGTATAAAGTAACACATGCACCTTTATGATTATTACCCTTTTATAACCACAAAAAGAGAAAAGAAGTAAAAAATAAAATATGTATCTTTATGTATCTACTCTACTTGCGTACTTATTTTCCGTTGTTAAACTAAGAGAGGCAAAAGCAGGCCACAGTTAAAAAGGTGCAAATTTCCTCTTTTAAAGCAGCGCGACCTATTATTAGGAAATTGTTTTTTTCTTTTTTAAAGTAGGTCGTATGTTTATATGCAGCGTATAGTTAAATAATATTCTGCAATTTTCTCATTCCCTTTCCGTCGTTTTTCATTTCTCTACGAACATATATGCTTATGTAAGACAGATATATAGTCTACGCCGTTACTTGATTATTTTATTGAGTATCTGCTATCTCTCACATATATATATATATATATATATATATTGAAATTTGAACCATGGACTTCAATAAGTTTTACTCACCTCATTAACCGCTTAGTCATGCTCTTTATTTCTTTCAATTTATATGGGCCGTTTTTTCCTTTTAATTTATAAAGGTAGTTTTTCTTTTTTGAGTGTTTTTAGAATTTCTACTGAAATAACACGTTATCTAACTTCTGTAAACTAAGAGATACAAGCGTGAAATCTCAAAAGCCTAACCACCAAAGAAAATACTAGTAGCTAGTTGTTAATATGTTTTATATTTGTTAAAGGATTGACGTGCTTCTCATTAATGAACTTTACTTATAATCCAATTCTTTATTAATCATGGACTGGTGTCACCTAGCTATAGCCAGATCTCATATTCACATAATATAGTGGACCAATTAAGCTAAAGATTAGCTTTACTTTACTGGTACTAGTGAATCACTCTTAAGTTATATATATCACATTAACTTTGTTTTTTGCTTGCGAGGAAGTGAAGCTCCTCAACAAGTCTCCTCCATCTGTGACCGACAAGGCTAGGTAGCTCTTGCTTTGACTTGAGGTAAAAGGGATGTATCACGAGATGGACAATTTTTTATTTTTTTAATTATAAATTATGATGTTCGAATCAGCTTGAATGCACGTTATAATTATTCGTCCGATATTTATTATTTTACATCAGCACAAATATCATGTAGCTCTGTTCGCCAAATTTTACATAGGTGGGGAAGGAAAGTACCTAATATTGTTTGTCTCTGCTAGAATTTAACAAAAAATAATTATGTAATTTATTTCTTCATGGAAGAAAAAGAAAGAATTAATTACAATACCCAATTAGGAAATTCCAAAAGAGTTAATTGCCTTACATTTTGGCCTTTAATTTTACTTCGTAATTTTAAATAGGTACTATTGAAAAAAGCCTTTCTACTTTTATAAGGTAGGGGTAAGGTATGCGTATTCACTATCCTCCCCAAAATACTGGTAATATAAATACTGGTTATGTTGCCAAAGAGTCCATAGGAGCAAGGGAAGATATATAGAGAGAGGAGATTATGGGGCACGTGAACCCATAGTCTCTCCTCAAAATTAGATATTTTATATACATATTTTTTAAAATTGGTATAATATTAACTGTTGGCACCCATACTACAAGAAGGTTGAATGGTGAACTTGATTAAATGTTGAATTATTTACCAAGAGGAAGGGGGATCAATTTTCACTTAATACATTTTTTCCTTATTTTCTTTTAGTAGTACACCCATGTATTGAAAATTTTAGATTCGCCTATGTACAGGACTAGTATAAATAATCCACTGAAATTTTGTAGAAAGGAGCTAATTAACTCAAGTCCTACCGTAGATTACGTTTAGAAAATTAAACCTAATGACAACATCTATGAAGCTGTGAATTAACTGCAATTTTGGATTTATACTCTATGACAAAAAGAGAAATTAGTTGCTGAAATATACAGCCTTGACAATCTTGTAACAAAGAGAAGACAGAAGAAGAGAAATATACAAGAGTTGTTAAAGCTTTAGATTTAGGGAATTTTGGATGCTAGTTCCCAGTCTTTGTAGCCAGAGGAAATTATTTTTGTCCAGTATTAATAGTAATTCTAAAAATTCACCCATTTCCCCTTCCTCCTAATGTAGTGGGAGATATAGGCGGAGCAAAATCTAAAGTTTATGAATTTTGAATTTTTTATTAAAATTATAGCTCGTCTTAATTATTAAATTTGTAATATA